TGTTTCCTTTGCCTTAACTTGGCCCTGTGTAATTTTCAAATCGATAAGCAACAGAGTATAGAACCTACTCTGCTGCCTTGCCCTGCTTTCCTTTGTTTTCGCACAAAACTCACACACATATAGCCATATAATTTTGCATGAAAATCACGAAGTTGTTGTCAAAAAGGCATTTTCATACCTTAACGAATTTTCGCTCTGACGCTGTCGGAAATTTGTTGGCCACTTGAAAGTATTACCACAATGGGCGTGGTCGCACTCCCCCCAATATGGCGGCACAAACAATTTCCAAAGTTGTCAATAAAAAAGCCCAAAAAAATAGAAGGCGGTTTCATACTGCTTGAATATCTGAGCAGGTTGAACTCCCATCGGGCCCCGTGGAAATTATTTGTTGTCCTCGCCACCCGACTTGTCACCTGCAGTGAGATGAGCCGCAGCAGCGACAAAGGATTGACATACTTCAAGTGCCAGAAACTCAGAAACTGGAATACGCTGAAACCGCATTTCGTATTCATGAGCTTGCCAGCTTCAAGACACGTTTGTGAGCTACTTTTCCCGGTGACTAGAAATACTTTTATTTATTGCAATCAATCAAAACTTTCACTAGGATTTTCACATGGGGAAAGGAACACACTTTATCAGCAGAAAACCATAAAAAAAATAAGTTTATGAAAATTTAACATAAACTTGAAGAAACTATTTAAATTAAAGGATAGGTTGTACATCTGATGAGCCTGAATAATAAGTTTGTGAAGTATATATTAGTATATAATAGTGCTTTGTTTTTTAAACAAAAAATTGATAAATGTAGAATTTTTCCCTTTCCTTCAAATTTTTTTAATTTAATTTTTAAAACCTTTTATTATTTATCCTCAACTTTATACTTAATTATACTTTATACTTAATTAAATTTTTAATAAATGTTCTAAAAACTTTCTTTTATTTCCAAAGAAATTGTTTTAAAGTTTCTTGAGATTTAAAATGTAAATAGCCGGCAATTAGCTGGAAAACCGGCGGCATATGCAGGCTGAAAATCGTACACACACACACACTCTGGCACTGAAGCACACAAGGACTCACACGGCCGCATACGCACCTGCATAGTGCCGTCTGTCACCTGGCATCAATGCCCCAGATGCCGCTGGCGGTGTTTCCTTCCCCCGCATTTCCTTGGCCCCGCTTTTCCGCTTTTCCCCCCTTAAACTGCGAACCAAACAATGCAGGCAGCCAAGTGGGAGAGCTCAACAGTGGCCAGGAGGGGGATAGAGGCGAGGTGGCGTCATTGTGCCTTTGTTGGCCACTTTTTTTTCGCCTCCACTGTGTGTTAAGGGTACAGCTATGAGCAACATTTTAGTATAATGCACGGCTAACTTTAAAATTTATATTAATTTGTATGATATAAAGACGAGAATTAAGAGTTGACTTGGAATTTATTAAAGTTTCTTATATATATTAAATTTAACCTATACCACTATTATTGTACACACGCCTGTAGTTTTGTATGTGAGACCCTGTGCTTCATGGGGCATTGTGCGAAAGTGCGGCCCGACTCCGACTTGTTGCCACATCATCATCGTCATTACCATCGTCGGCATCGCAGTCCAGCACTTGGCTTGTAATGAGTTTGCCATTTTATTTTATTTATTTGTCCGCGCTTTGTTTCAGACGACAAACAGCGACAGCCGTGGAAAATTCCTTGCTGCATTTTAAATTCAAATTAAATAATGATTTAAGTGCCCCAAGAGGCTTTGTCAGCACACAAACGCAGTCGGCTGACAGTTAGGTAGGCGTTCAGGGAGGACCTTCTGGATGTGAATAATCCTGTGGTGGTGGGAGGTGGCGGTCAGGTGCCTCAGGTGTGCGCAGTCAGATAGTGGCAGATTCGCTTTATTCAAATGGATCTGTTTTAATTAAATTATTCTTTATTTTAAGGATACTTCACGAAAATAACCTTTAATCATATCATATTAACAAATATTGATAAATATTTAAAGAAAGAATATTTAGGATCTTATCAAAGTCAGAAATAAGTACATAATTCATCAGTATTGCCTGCTGACATACCTTAAAACTATTCCAGAATAGACAAATTGTTTTTAAATATTGAATTATGTGGAATAAAATTCAATTCAATTCAATTCAAATGTATGATATCGTTGTAGTATATCCTAATTCTAATAAAAATTCTCATAAACCTAACTAGTTTTCAAAATCACCAATATCCTTTCATTTTTGGCCTGACCCAGTTTCATTCGTTCAACTCTAAGCGAGTTTATTCAGTTGCAACATACGCACCTGTCGGTACTCAGGGCAAGAACCTCTCTGGCATGCAACCTAGTATAGAAATACTACCAAATCGGACGAAAATATAGAATGGAGAGAGTGTGCCAGCGAGGGAGACACGGAGATAGACAGCTGGACAGTTGGTGGCAAAAGGCAGAAATCAAATTACAATTTCAATATGCGATGCGTACTAAATGTCTGCTGGTGTCAGTTTTGGCTTTCAATGTGCAACATGCAACATTCAGCTTGATGTTTACAGTTTGTAGATGTGTTCCCATATATCGGGTATGCCTGTGTGGGTGAGTGTTTAAGAGTGTGTGTCTGTTTCTGGCTGGTACATTTTGATTTGGCGCACACAAAATGGATTTCTTGCCTGTCCATTCAAAACATTTCTATGTGGAGTCTAGAGATGGCAGCTGCTTAGATGCAAATAAATTATGGATGGAAAAAACCAATATTTATTGAGCAATAAAATGTAATTTTAAGGCGAATGTTAAGTATAACAGGTCATCATTTCCGAAAATTATTATTAATCAATTATTTTTTTAAGGTATAATATGGAATTATTCAAAAATACCTATTATTATCGCTAAGGAATACTGTTACTGTTAGAATTCCAACTTATCCGAGGGTTTTACTCATCTCTAATCCCAAATACAGTTTACGTTTGCATTTTGTGTGCGTTTCTCTGTCACTTAATGGAATTTATTACATTTTAACTGTGTGACAGGAGCTGCTGGTTGCAGGTTCAGACAGTGACAGTGGCTCCTGCTGCTCCTCCGGACTCCGTCTCAACTCCCCTTGAGCCCGCGCCCTGCCTGGTTCCGGGTGTCCAGCTCCTGCTCATCTGCATCAGTCATTGCCATGCATGGGAAATGCTAGCCAAAGTGTCACAGTTATTGATTCGACGCATAAATAATGCATGGCCAACAAGTGTGCCGGCTTGTTTATTTATTACATGATTTATTCAGGCAAACAACGCTCCAATTAAAAGCGTTTTTGAGCGATTAAGTGTAATGTCAAATCCCACAAACTATCCGGAGCAACTTTGCCGCAACTTAACGACTCCAGACAGCGATTATTAAATTAAAACGTGTAAGGAAAACTTTCATGTCCCGCCAAAAGATGGGCAACTTTTAACTCCTTCGTCCTCGTCTCTCATTTTTCTTCTCTTTTAATTTAATTTTAGTTTTCTTTTTGCAGCGCATAATTTATTGTGCGAGGCAAAAATCTGCTGCACCAAATTTGTCACATGGGATAAATAATAAGAAGAAAACTTTATCCGCAAAAAAGGCTGGCAAGTGGAGGAAGAGAAACTGCTCGGGGATTTGGGGCAGATTACTCATACGCCCGTTGGCAACTTCCACGAGCGGCGGCTGGAAAAAAACAGCTTCTTGTAATAGTGAGATCAGGCGAGCGTGAAATTAGAGCTAAGCTCATGAAGATGATGCGTGGAAATGAGCAAATTATCGTAGCCTTATCAACGGAAGGGATGAAGGGGTACCTACAAAAGTGACTAGAGTCTCCTTCAAAACTGTACAGTATTAAGGATATTTGCTAGCTGAAGTGCTGGGTATCTCCTAGTCGGGCATACAAGACTGTAGCTTTCACTGCGCTAATACGATCGTCGATCTGATCCGCCAGTATAAAACCTTAAGTTAGATTCCTTTGAACCATTTACGACACTTTAAGTTCATCTTCATCTCCTAGTTGAGAATCTCTGTGTTTTAATCTCTGTTCTTCTCAAATAGAACTAGTTATAGCTACTAATTTATACTTGAATATATCACTGGCCTTATTTGAAATGTATATAATTCAGTCTATATCCTATATAGCCTCAGTTTCCGACTAAATCCAATTTTCATCTCAAATTGCGGTCTGTATATGGCTTTTTAATGGAGTAACAAGAAAATCAAACCCAGATCTTTGAGCCTTTTATCACCGAGACAATTGTCTTGGAACCGCCACTAAATATGTCAAAATAAAGGCAAATTTATACACAAACTGATAAACACAAAAATACCGGGCCAAAGGGACCCGGAAAAGAAGTGAAAGAAATATAAAAGAGGGTACGACTTTTTGGCTGGAGGGGTGCAAAAGCAAAGCTGCAACAGTTCTTATCTTGACACTGTCATCTATCCGGCTGAAACTGGGGAAATTGGCCCGACACCGGAACTTTTCCGCCTCGGTCTGCTCTTCAGTTCCAGCAGCCATCTTCATCTCCGCTTGCCATCTCGGGCCGTTTGTTGTTGCCTTGGCATGCCTATCACTCGAATTGAATCAAATTACCTTGTAATCTTAACCTTAAGGTTATTTGCCATTGCCCACAAAAAGCGCTTTGTGCTCGACTGCGTTTAGTTACTATTTGAGTGGTGAGTGGAGAGAGCTGGCGCAGGAAGCGAAGGAAAGTGGGGGCAACTCCACCCCCTCCGGGAAGGTGCACCTTTCACACTTGTTCGAGTTTATATAAAAGGAAATCTAACATTACGCCCTATCGCGATTGCAAAGTTTAAGTGAGTTTTGTGCCAAGTGCAAAGCCGCTTGAGGTACCTGCCTTTTCAGGGCTTGGGGGATTAGGAAAGTGTAGCAAGTCAATCAAGAAGTTCGTGGGAGGATGAAATAGAGTATATTATTGCACTTTGCAGGGGAGAAGTTCTGCAATCCATCAGGCAATCGACACAGGAAATATCGGATAGCAAAGAGGATAAATAAATAAACTGTTTTTTGGAATGCTCATCTAACTAATTTATTTAACAGATATTATACAGTGAAGAACAGATTTGTGTACAACCAAGGAACATATCAACCGCTTATCATCCAATCGCCTCTAAAAACCATCGATCTCTACTCGTTGACTCCGTAAAGGGTCTTCATCAACTCGGGAACATACTCATCCCACCTGGATTGGAATACATTCCCTGCCACAGGACTTCCCAATTCGTATTTTTCAGCGAATTTCTTCACCTCGAAGTTGCTGTGACCATCGGCATTGCTTAGCTCAATTTTCTTCTCGTCAAAGTCCAACTTATCCGATTGCTGATATACCAGAATAAGGTAGCGCTGCATGCCGCTGTCCTTGGGCGGAAGAGGTCCGAAATAATCAGATATGGGTTGTCCCTTCATGATGTCCAGACCGGGCACATTAACCACCAACCAATGCAGCCAGGAACGGTACATGGGATTTTCGCGGTTCGGAGCATCGGGACAGATCATAACCACTGTGTAGAAGGACTCGTGATCGGCATCCCAGTCCAGTCTGGGTTGGAACTTTAGCTCTGTTGGGGTGTATGTCTTGCCCTCTTCAATATCAAAAGTGTTGTCGTATCTAATCTATTGTATATTTTTCATTAGATCAAATAATATTATCATAATTAAACTTACCCTGAGTAGTTCTTTTGGTGGCTCATCTAAAATGTCCGGCATTACTTCCATTTCCTTCATTATCCTTCGAACATTATCGTTATCCTCTTGACTCCGACTCGGGCAAAAAAAGCCCAAGAGCAGCAAAAGCAACCCCAGCGATTTCATAGCTAAGCTCTTCTATAAACTCCACTTCAACGGCTCTTTATATAGTCGCTTTATCAATAGTAAATACTATTAAGATAATTGAGTCGCAATTACGGCAATTTTCCACAGCGCTTTAAAGGGTTGCCGCACGACTAGGCAAATATTTACAATATATTTTGGCTGATTGGCTTAACTGCAATTGGAGCAGTGCAATTGATATTCATTCATTCTGACAACTAGCGGAAAATTACAGATAATGGGTAATGATCGAGCAGTTTTTGCATTGGGAGGATATTATATCTTTTTTAAAACTATTTAAGTTGTTTGTTTTCAAGCTAATTCCATTGGAACAATATTTTATATCGACATACATTTAATTATTACTTTTGAAGAAACTTAATCCATTATTTTAATTGCTTGCATTCACTTAAATTTAAACTCTTTTCCCCCCAATTAAAACAGTTAAGGCTAAATGAGTTCATTCAAGTTAAAACAATTAATTTTAACTTAATCAGAATGACTCTTGGCCTTGCTCACATGACTTCTCTCGGTTAAATCCAAGGCAAAAAAGTGTATATATATTATTTCATTATGGCTGGTAACGGATTACACAAGCTAAGCTAGCCATAAAATGCATTTGCATGCCAATTATAAAATATTCCAGCTGCTTTACACGATTTCCCTCCCCGAAGTGGAAAAAAGTGCGACTGGAGGAAAAAAGCAAACACAATTCAGGACTCTGGCAGGAGAGTTGGCAGCATGTGCGTCTAATGTGGGCACATTAGCAACACAAATGCAGGACGAAGACCGTACAAGACGAGAAGCCAAAACCGAGCTCCAAGCAGGAACTGAAACGGGAGATGGATCGGGACATGGAGGAGCCACCGGAGCGGAGGACTAGGACCAGAGCCACTCAAGCAAACGAACGCACTTAATTTATGCAATTTGGTTAACAACGTTAAAATAGTAGACGAGGCCAGGAGAGGGGCCCAAGGATGCCAGACATAAATCAAAATGGAAACAATAACCCGCCAGCGCAGGATGAGCGAGATAGCTCCACGTAGAAAAAATCACATTAATGAAATACTAATGGGTTTATAAATCACTAAATTATATTTAAAAATGGCAATTTCGCTGACATGGCGAAATGGAACGTGTTAATTAGAATCTATAAATGTTTTATTAATATAAAAAAGAGTGTTTATGTTCATCCTATATTCAATTACAGATACTCTGTGTTTACTCAACTAAAATGTAAATTTTTTAGGATAATAAAACCTTTTTTGTAAAATTAGTTACGATAGAATGTAAAAATACTACCAAAGAGATAAGGCTATCTTAACCAAGTCCTTTCATACTTCTTTCTCCCTGTGTACCCACATGTGCGGAGCGAGATGGGTAGTTTGGGAACTGTAGCGAAAGGAGTAATAAGGATAATGAAGCGGCAACGTTTGCGGCATGCAACCATGAGGCACTTGCCATGTAAACGATGATGAGCACGATAATGATGGCATTTCAATGAAGACACACACACTCTCCGCCTCTCTCTCAGGCTGGCGGGCTTTAGCCTGGCTTTCCTGTCACCGACATCGCAATTTCCATCGTCCCAGCTTTTGCTGGCCCAATATTTGCTCAAATATTGGCTCATTATTTGACATTATTATGGATTAATTAGCTTATTAATTATTTCAGCATACGAAGTGGGGCCCTCACTTGTGTTTGTGACATGTTGCCGTGATTTGGAAAAGGTTATTAATATTCCAGAAAGTAGTTGAAGCAACTGTAATTTATTTCACCGAAACGTGACTTTATTATTTTCAGGTTTTCAGTAAAGTTATTGCAAATAGATTTGTCGTTTTTAATAATTAAGAAATTATATTGTTATATATTAGATATTTTGTATATTTTTGTATAAGAAAACACCTCCAAATCGCGGCAGTTCAATGAGTTAGCAAAGGTTTCCGAATCAAAACTCAAGTGCCGGTCAGTGACCTCGTGCTCGGCTGAATATTCTTTGGGGCGCAATCCTGTGGTCCCCTCTACCACCCCTTTGACAACTACTTAGTTTGTTGGTAGCTGCGTTATCTGGTTACTTTTGCAAGTTTTCCCCAGCCAGGATTACTACCAGCATCGAGATAGAGTCTGCGTCCAGAGTTGGCAGTTATCCTATTCAGGAAACTTTCTCGTTGTTGTTGGGGTTCCCCGTAGCTGCGCACCGTTGTTGTCGCACTAATTTGCGTGACCTTTCGGGATGCCGGGCGGGGGGGTTAGTTGGATAACCAGGTAACCAACTAACCGGAGAACAGCAGCCCCAACCGGGCGGAGCAGGCAGCCAAAGCCTTTTGAATGGCATTTCATTTGCGACGCCTTTCAACGCTAATGCCATGGAAAATGCATAAATTGTGGCATCCAAGTGCTGAACTTGCGGCCAGAACAACGCTTCAGCAAAGATATCAGCTCGTTTAATTTTCCAGCTTATCAGTGCAAGGACTTCACTTGAATGCAGACTGCAAAATGTTTTTACAGAGAGCTTTGTTTAAAAGGGGAAAGTATAAACATTTTTAGTAGAAAATTTAGTTGCAGGGCTTCATTTGCAAGAAAATCGGAGTTCTTGTAACAGCAATGAAGAAGTATTTATATTATATTTTGTATTATTAAGATTGTAACTCAGAGATACAGAGAAAATATTTACAATAATGTAGGTATAATAAATTGAGAAAATATTTACAATGTGAAATATCCAATTTAGAAAAACATTTTCATTGAAATTGTTTCCCTATTTCCATTTGCAAATAATATCTTCTCAATTTTCTTCACTGAACTCAGCTTTGTATGTTTAGCTATCCCAACATCAAAATGAAGATGCCAATAAATGAAATCAAATCGAATGCAAGTCAACTGGAAACTTGGATAAGTCAAGTCAAACATTCACAAACATTCACACACACTTTTTATAACAAAATTAGGCAACTTTAAAGCGAGGAGCTATCCCAGTGGGATAACCCTTTGGTACCACATTAGGCTATTTGCATACATAAATAAATCAAGCTGATCGAAAACATATTCATAGTGCTAACCAGCTCTCAAATGCTTACAACAAAACGATTTTCCACTTGACAAAAGCTCAAGTGGCCCACGCCCCGTCGACAGGAGGAAATTCAATCTGTTCTTTCCATTTAAACAATTTTCAAAAAACTTGTTTATAACTCAATTTTTGCCAACACACACACATACATGCGAAATAACACTTAAATAAATAAACACAAAAAGTGCTTACCCAATGCCAAAGTTGGAAAATGAACAATTCCATTTTGCGATTGTGAATGGGTTTGTTTGATTGTGAATGGAAAATGGGGGAATGGCTGGGGGAATCCCCTTGTCTGAGTTTTGGTTCGCACGCATGTAATACACAATTGTTGTTACTGTAGTTTTCATTGTTGTTGCAGCTCTTAACATGGCACGCGAAGAATCCTCCAAAAACGAAATGGATATATCCAGGCGCTTTTAGCGCTCCTTCCTGCCCCACCGCCCCCGCGCGCACTCTGTATGTTTGCCAAGGGATACAACATTGAAATTGCCAAATGGTATTTCATACATCTATATCTATACGTTTGAGTGTGCCTTGTTCAAGAGGCGTGGCTCTGGGAATTTCTGAGTGCCCTAAAAAACTTTTTGCTTACTCCTTTTAACACAAAACACTTTTTATTTAATTTAGGCAAGAAATATGTGGGGTGAAGATTGCGATTCATCGGTTAACGAAGGTATATACATATACTATGGTTTTTACACAGAAAAAATTTTCGTAGGTTGAATATACTATTTTTGTTGGTTGAATTACAGTAAAGTACAGTCAATGTATTTTGTTGATGGATTTTTGACTGTATGAAACTGTTCAAAACTGTTGTTACAGTCAATTACAGTAATCCTTACGTTCCAAATGATGTGTGTATTTTGTTTTTGGCTTTGGAGATTGTAAATTACTGTTAGCTGCAGTCAAGATACTGTGCGTTTTACGTAGCTCAGAGAGAGAGAGAGAGAGAGAGAGAGAGAGAGAGAGAGAGATAGGAAGAAAGAAAGAGATACATTTTATTTTTATCTTTCTCTCTAGAAAGATCTAAAGTGAAACTGTAAAATACTGCATTTCACAATTTTCGTAGGTTGGGGCCTTTTTACGGCAGAATAGTGATGGATGTGGTTGGATTTACTGTAGAGCAGTCATAAAACGTAAAGCTTTACGTCGTTATACTGCAATCTACAGTAAAATCAACCCATGATATTAGAGTGGGGCACTCTAACTGTGAAATTGGTTGGACTTACTACAGGAATTTGTTCTGTGTATTAACAATCTACTGTAAATAATATCTTAAGCTTTATAGTTCGTGTATATAATATAACTTCTATCTTTCGGGCTTTAAAATATACGTTTTTCCATAAACTATTGATAACAAAATCGATCCAAGCACAATATTTATTAATATACTTAAGGGAGCATCTCTCCGATTCCGTTATAAAAAGAACACGCAGTTTGAATTTATGCGTGCCACAAAATCGGGGGATTGTTAGGGCCTCTCTGTTTCGCTTTCCATCATTCGTATTCATATCTGTTATTGACATTTTATGCATGACATTCTTTTACTTGCTCCGGTTCCCATTTTCCATCCCTTTCGGCTTTTCAGCATTTCAGCATCCTTATCCCATGTCAAGAGAGCAGCGGGCAAAAAGTTGGCCTGAAAATGACGCGAGTTGTCAACGTGAATTAAAATAATTGATTTATTTTAACGCAAGTTAAGCGAATAAACAATCCGAGGGAGAGTGGTGGGGGAATGGTTTGTTTTTCATTTTAAAAAATAAGTAAAAGGGAAAGCCATGAAAAGGGCAACCGCACTTGAAGTTGTCAGTGGCAGAAGAAAAACAAAAAGCCGCTCTTCTCCTTTTTGCGCAGTTAAAAAACAAATATAAATTTAAGGACAAAGAAAGTGGAAAATGTGCAGATGATGAAATTATTAGCGAAAT